TATTGACATATTGGTGTGTGGCTACAACAGGCTACATGTCATGCTTATCATGATACACAGAGGGTTGTAACATTGACAATAAAGTGTTGTACTTAAAAAATAATTACTGGGCATGGTTTAGAAATTGTAATTCTAGAAACCCATGACGTGTTACCAGAGTCACGTGACTACCGCTATCGTAACAGTATGCTAATTTTCCTTAAAAAACACATATAAATACATTGAAGAAATAGTGGGAAAGTGTTGAGTATTGTAAGATGCACAATCACTACAAAAATTTACTAGTGTACTTTACCCAATATACCCATGATGTGTAGCCCAAAATTAAGCACTTGCATAGGTTAGGACCATTGAATGAACAGTTTTACTATAAATAATACACTATAATGTATTAGCTACTCATAAATATTGAAAGTAATGTAGGGATGATCAATGTATAGCTGTATCATCTCTATATTCTTGTTTCCATTCGTTTTGACACTGCCATCTCTACATCATTTTACATTTACAAAATGTTTTTATTACTTGTATATATATTCACTGCTCTTTCTAACAGCTGACAGTTACCTGTACTGAATTCACTATTTATAATGTCTTGCATTTTAAGTGTGATTTGTTCTTAGAAAGCAGACGTGGATAATTCCTGTAATTTTCGCATTTTCGTTAATCTCTTAAAAGATTTTTTTCATAATTTTTCAAAATTGCACCTGATTTATGTAATCACTGTAGAATTGCCTGATGTTTGCAGTTGTCTTAAAGAAAAAATAAACAGACTGGAAATGGGACATAAACGAAATATCAAGATTTATTTTGGAGTCTGGGATATACAAGTTCTCTGTACTAACAGACAGCTGATATGCAATTCTAAACCATTTAGGATAACAAGGATATGTTCTAATTTATTATAGTGACAAGTGTTTAAAAGGTACATATCAGTATTAAAATAATATTTCAGAATAAAACTTTCTGAGAAAAGCACAATCTCAGCAAAACTTCAAAACTAAAAGTATCCTATTTCTTGAAACGAAAAAAAGGAGTGAAATCAATGTATTTATTATTATTAATTTATTATCGATGAGATGTTAAGTGTTATTCAATGAAATTAAACGCTGTTTACTGTGGGTGAAAAAGAGCATATTTTCAATTACTGTAGTCATAAACACACAAATAAAATCTAGATTAAGATACTGTATAAATGCTAAACAATTCAAACCAATTAAAATAGTTTTAATGATATTTAACGTGAATAATATACCGCATCAACTATTTAGTGTCGATATATATTGAAAAATGAATCATTACAACGTTCTAGAGTATCCAGATCTAAGCAATCAGGGTTAAACAATTATTAAATGGCCCTTTTTTTTCTTTGGAAAATTCTTCAGTTTTTGTATATATGGTAAAGTTGTTTCTCGATTAAAAATAATAACAAATACGACTATTAAGTTTAAATATTTTTAAATGACAAAAGAAATTTTGTGTCTGGCGTTGGTGTATTTAGGTTTAAAAATTCATACAATACATCTTGTCATAAAATAAAGAAACTATTCTATTATACGGCTTTCATATTTATAGTTTTTGGCTCGACAGAGAGAGAAAAAACTACTGTAATATTTTTTCTCTTTTATTCCTCATCAAATATTTAAATGTAATTAACAGTAACCACAGTATCGTTGCCAATTACATTACTACAAATAGAAATTAGCTATAAGAACTCAAGTCCAAACCTTGCGTGAATCTCAATCGCAGAGTTTTGGTTGTTTGTTTTAGCGCAAAGCTACGTAATGGGCTGTCTGTGCCCTATCCACCGTGAGAATTCAAACCCTTTATATAAATTTACCGTTGACCCACCGGACGACTAAACACAGACAGTTGGCTCTCTATTAATACATGACGTAACAACTTGTTAATCATATTATCCAACTCTGCGTTTGAAACGTACGAAGCACTGTTCGAGTATGTAAGAACCCTTATTGTCATAGTAACACTAATGGTGGAATAATTCCGTTAAAAATATCGAACGTACACTAGAATTATAATATAATGCTAATTTCAGAATTTTTTTCCTACATATAATTTTATTATTGAATGTCGCTTGTAAAACTTACATAACACTTTTCTATGTAAGACTTTGAGAAATTATTATTAGAATTAGTAAAACAACACATTATCATTTCAAATAGTGACATCAAAAGATGACTACTTGCAAATGTATCACGGAAAATAGACAATGGTATCAATATTTGTCTACAATATGTGTAATCTTTCATTTTTAAGTTATGTATTTCGTATTTAACAAAGATTTTATTTCTGTCTTTTTGGAAAAAAATAGAATAAAAGATATCAATATGTGGTAACAACTATAAGGTAAAATAATCAAGACGATTGGACACTTTTATATTACGAAAAATGACAACGAAAAATCATAAGAATAATGTTTTAGTATACAGAATATATTATATACATAAAGACTTGTGTTTAAGTATAATATATAATCGTGTTAGTACTTTTCAATATACGATAAAGAGGCCTATGTTTAAAAACATGGAAAGCTAATATAATTCTACAGTGTTCATTAAGCTCTTTCATTACATTTCAGTAAAATATTTCTATACTCCTACACATAATAAAGATCAGAAATAGATAGAAACGTCCGAGTTGGAAATTGAGGGCAATGTCACATACGCAAACACCGTAGTTGAGAAATTAGCAGCGCCATCTATCATAAAGAGAGCGAAAGTGGGAACAATGAAGCCAAACCGATCAAACACAGCAGCGTGAATCATAATTGTGTATTTCAAGCCCCTTGCACATTTGTTGTTTGGCTGTCTTTCCTGAAAGTAAAATAAAATTGTATAGTTACTACGTCTTAAGTAGTTGCATTAATATAAATTCACATAAAAAATAATAATAACTAAATGATTTTTTTCTCAATTCTCTTACTGGAAACTCATTCATTTAGTTAAGAATATCTGTTGACACTTGTTATCTTAAGAACTATCACACATGTTGGCGTCGATATCGTACATCTTTATGAAGCAAAACATTGACTTATCACAGTTACGAGATTTTGGAGGAAAGTGTAAACAATATTACCTGATCTTAGCAAGTCAATTATAATTATTTTAAACCATCTTTTATAAAAAAAAATTAAAAATAATAATACTGTAGATCCTTTAAATGTATGTAATTTGTCTATCGGTATTATGAAAACACTTCACTATTATTAGATTGATATTTCCATTACGTGTATATAATTTGCATGCACTATCTTTAAGAACTCGCTGTGCCCTCTACTGGTCATGAACAGTGAAAGCGTTGTTGTTCGTTATCTTAAAAACCTCCACGTTTAGTCGGATTGTTTTACATCTTGGTCACACGATGGCGCGTCGATAGGCGGTAAATTTACTCTAGCTGTTGATTACATTCTGCACTCGACTTCTGCACTTCTTGGACTTTTGAACAGAAGATTTAATGACCATTTGTTGACCTGATTATTGTTATTATATGTTTATACTGTATTTCATCAAATGGACAACAGTGAACTGCTGAAACTATTGAAGGAAAAGAAAACCGTTACAAAGCAATAAGGCAAGTATCAATGTAATGTTTACAGTAACACCTTGTTGTCTTAGGGATTTACACACAAAACAGCAAACTGCTATGTAACTTCAAAACAAACTGTAACATTTTCAGAATTTCATAACAGAGCATTAAATGTTTACACGCGAAATGAACAAAACTTTTGTCGTTATATTAGTTGCATTTTAAAATAATTTTATTACAATTGTATATAAAAACTTAGAATAAGGAAAATTACACTGATTACAGTAACTAATATAATACCAAATCAATGATAATAAAGGTTGGGTCTGGATAATCAGATGAAACTCTTAATACAGACTTTTCTGTGTCTAAAAATGATAAGACAAAAAATCAACTATCAAATCAGCAGAATGATTTTTTTTTATTAAATCGTTAAAGACATCTTTGATCCAATTCTATGTTGCCATAAGGATAGAATGAAAAAGTATGATTAGATTAAAAAATGTTACCTTCTACTGGTGAATGATCTCGTTTATTCTCGAGCGAATTTTCCATTTCGTGGTTGGTATTTAACACCTTCTGTTGGCCACTTACAGAATCACCGTAAGGAGCTCCGTTGTTCATCTGGAAAAACTGTGGGTTTTCCCTGAAACTGTCAATCAGGGCAGCACTAACGATGTCTAAAAGAAGAATGAGATACTATTTTAACATGTGGAGATAAAGGTGATCCGAGCGAAAGAAGTATATTTATCAATTTTGGTATTGAAGTGATCAAATATATTTTATAAGTTTCGAATTTCGATTTATTTGGTTTGTATGGTTGCTGAAGGGCATGTAAAGTGTTATGGAAAAATTCATCTTTAAAAAGAATGCGAAGTGACTATTGTCTCCAAAGTTTATAATATTTGAATTTCAAGTAATTTATTTTACATTTTACATTGAACTTGCTGTAGATATTATTTATGCGGACATCCATCTACCCTTTTTGTGAACAGCACAGCTAGGTAGAAAAGAAGGAATGTGTTTCAATGGAGAGTTCCTTGTGTCTTTTGTTGTTGGAGACAGAATTACGTACGTATTATTTACACGCACGGTTTTCTACTTTTTGTCATTGTAAAGTGGGATTGATCGTCACATTATAACGCCCCCACGGCTGAAAGGGCGATCATGTTTGATGTGACGGGGATTCGAACCCGCGACCCGCAGATTGCGAGTCGAGCACCCCAAATTAACTAATATTCCTCGCCTAGTCCTCTTGTGGGACAGAGATAAATTTACGGATTTATAACACTAAAATCCTGGATTCGATTTCCCGCGGTGGATACAACAGATAGCCTAATGTGGCTTTGCTTTAAAACAACAACAACAAAAACCCTGGAAATTATACATTTTTTTTTTTTTTGCAATGAAAATTCAGATCAACCCTTCCTACCTAAAATTGTCTGTTCCATCTCTCTGGAGATCTTGTTGGTTGCTACCTGAATCTCAAGAAAGTTGCTAAACTTGGAGAGTACTTCTTCCGCTGTTGGGTCACCTATAAATGGATTTATCCAATGTATTTACCAGCCAAGTACTTAACGAAAAAGAAATCACCAACAAAACATTTAACAAGAATGGTCTTTATATACACTATTAAAGAAGTGTAATGTTTAACAATGCAATATAAAGTAGGCAAAACTACTAGGTCAAAGACCCCTAGGGTTAAGATATAACTGTCCTTAGCTTTGAACTACTAACGAGAAGGGAACGGCAAACAGCCAGCTAGCAACACTCCCTCCTCCACTACAGATCGAATACTGGAATTGACTTAACACTGAAAGTGCTGAGCATGTTCAGAAGTATCACATCTTGAACCCCGAACACTTTGAACTTCATCCCAATGCGCATGATTGGCCCAAATAAATGTAAATTTTATAAGAAGCTTTTATCCTTGTACGTTAAACAAAGCAATATAACTCCAACAACAAAAAGTGATTATTATTAAAATCATTAGTGAACTGAAAACGATACTTTTTAGAATTTTTACAAAAACGTTTTCCCAAACATTGCAGGAAAGGAAACGTTCTTAGGATGAGAAGATGGTACAGAGAAGTACCCTACCTTTAGTGCGCTATGTTTATCGCTTTCGTTACTGTTCTTCTGTTGTGTTTTTGGTAGAGAAATAGGTGTCTCTGACAGTTATTTTTACATGTAAATGTTAATGGCGATTAAAACAGTTGAATTTTATTTTCGTTATCTTTATATTGATATTTTTCTGAGGATGATATTGTAGAGAATTTATAAAACGTAAGATAAGTAGTGGGGTAAATTCTGGGTTGTTTTCTGGAATATTGTTTGTTTGTTTGTTTTTAAATTTCGCGCAAAGCTACACGAGGGCTATCTGCGCCAGCCGTCCCTAATTTAGCAGTGTAAGACTAGAGGGAAGGCAGCTAGTCATCACCACCCACCGCCAACTCTTGGGCTACTATTTTACCAACGAATAGTGGGATTGACCGTCACATTATAACGCCCCCACAGCTGAAAGGGCGAGCATGTTTGGTGGGACGGTGATTCGAACCCGCAACCCTCAGATTGCGAGTCGAGTGCCCTAACCACTTGGCCATGCCGGGCCTTACTGGAATATAAATGAAAAAAAAAAAAACCTGCAGAAAAGCATACTTTTCTATGTTTATAGGATAATATAATGAAATATCTACTACTAGAATACACATGTATTTCTGCCAAATACTCTTAGACATAAATAAAAATGAAGTTTCGAAATTTTAACTTACAATGACAGTAAAAGGCTAGCAAAAAAAAAAATACACACTAAAAACAAACAGGTAACACACATTTTAAAAGCTGAATTTAATACCTCTGAGCATACTCTGTTCGAACATGTCCTTTGCTAACTGGTATATTATTTCTTTCAGGGTGTATTCTTCATAAAAGGAGCCAGCATCCAGAAGGTTTTTCATAGCCATAGCCATATGGATTTCTGGTTGTAGTTTCATTGAGTCATAGATGGGAGTTTTGTGTATGGTTGGTTGGGAACGAAGGGCCAGAGTTTGTCCGATAGCAGAAGTTTGATCGCTAGGTTTAGGCTTAGGAGCTACAGTAATAACTGTTGTGACTTGTGGTTCCTCAGTAGGACGTGTTACTGATGGTTCTTTGAGAGCATCGGTTTCTTTTTGTTTGTCGTTTTTGATGAATAAATTCTGTTGCCTCAACTTGTTTTTCTAAAACAGTAATATTTCTTCGAGCTCGTAAAAGACATTCCAATATAAAATTCGAAACAAAACGAAGAAAATAGAAAGGAACGTTTCACGTACATACGTGGACATTATATTACGTAGAAAAGAGTGTCAATAATGAAAACAAAAAGATTATCGATAGAAACTGGGATTACAGTAAAAGGAAAACGTTATTACTTATAATTTACTATCTCGGGAATATCCAAGCTTAACCTCAACATTATCAATTCGATTTTAGTCTAGGATCATTTCTTCTTGACACCATCCCAAATATTTTTAAACCATTAGTCAAAACAGTGAAAACTTAAGGGATTACCTAAATTGCAGGAAATGCTGAAAACCTACTGCATGTGGCTGCCAGTAAAACTTAAGAAAATATTGATAAACTCACATTGAATATGAATTCCCTTGAAATTTTGAAGTAAACCATTTATGTAAAAATTAATAACAAAAAATGAAATACTAGCTATTGATATCATTTAACATCAAATTCATTAATCAACTATTTTCATTACACTTATAACGTATTATGATACCAATACTCTATGACTCTATGTAATCAGAATATCTTATAATATATTGTGCACCTGTTGAAAAATAAAAACAGAATACCAAAAAAATAATAATAAATTAACATCTATAGAAAGCTGACGATAAATGATGGCGTCAGTAAGTTTGCAAATTAGGGACAAATTCCTCTTTCTTAGGATTAGTCAGAAATATTAGTCTTAAATATAAAATCAGTTTTATTTCAATACATTTGTCAACACTCGTACAAAACCCTCTTGTCCTCAACAACCATTAAACTTAACTGGATTTTCACATGTCATGTTTAATACATAAACTTTAGTTAGTTAATTTTAGACCCTCAGAACTCTGTTGTACAACTTCATGAGGCGGACACAGATCCAGTTCGGGGCAATTTAGCATACTCAGTTTGTTTCTATCCAAAAGATGAAACATTACACACAGTTCTTCAAACTAACTATCATTATATAGAAACATTGGGTCACTACATATGGGTCTTTGAACTAACTATAATTATATACAAAAATAAGGTTATCACACACAGTTCTTCAAACTAACTATAATTATATACAAAAATAAGGTTATCACACACAGTTCTTCAAACTAACTATCATTATATACAAACATTGGGTCACCACGCGTGGTTCTTCAAACTAACTATTATTATATACAGACATTGAGTCCCCACACATGGTTCTACAAACTAACTAATTTTATATAGAGACATTGAGTCCCCACACATGCTTCTTGAAACTAACTATTATTATATACAAACACTGAGTCCCCACACATGGTTCTTCAAACTAACTATCATTATATACAAACATTGGGTCACTAGACACAGTTGCCCAAACTGACTATCATTATATACAAACACTGGGTCATCACACATGCTTCTTCAAACTAACTATTATTAAATCGAAGAGCTAAATAAATTAGAACCGTGCTAATAAGAAGCCTTTCAGTTGCGGTCCTGTGTCGTACCTTATGCAGGCCACCATAACTTTTGTGTCATCTTTACCCTTTCAATCCAATGGTAACTTATTTGTAGGGACTACAGTTCTAGTAATCCATGAAAACTATGATTCTTTACATTAATATGTCATGTTGAAAAAATATTTTTGCATTCATCACAGGAACATGCCAACTACATTAATTATTGTTAAGCTTTGGATATTAGAAGGGAAGGTCGCCTTTTGGATATACTATCCAAGTAACTTATCCAAAAAAAATATCACGAGTAATTTAATCATTCAATCGTGGATATTTAGCAATGAGTGGTGTGACATTTTTGCCCTTTTTAACGTTTTTATGTTAAACGTTAATCTGTTTTCGTTTTTTTTTTTACAGTATAATATACTTTAATTTCGTAAAAAAGACCTTTCTGAACAAGCCAGAAATGTGATTTTCCAATAGACTATCTAAAAAATGTAAATATATGATATTGTATCTTTATTTTATAGCTTTGTTTCTGTCATCTTTTGTGAAACATTATCTAATGAACTAATTGTATTGTATTAAAGATTTAACAGATTATTTTTTTTCCAGGAACGTACTGACCTCAACATCGTCTGACTCAGTTCTTTTCATCTCGTTGATTTCTAAGAATTCTTTCACATGTGGCGGTATGTCATATTGTCCTCTCATGTAGTTTAATTCAGTTTTCACGTTTTGCAGGTAGTCAATTGCTTGTTCTCTGTCCATCTACAAATGACGGCAAAGTAAAACAGCTGTTTTAATCACTTAATGTATATTTCAAGAGATGAAAATAAGGGATACAGTTCTAGAATTTACTCTTGGATCATTCTATTGTACCGGTACAGGCAACGCCTCTATCGTACGTCACTAAAAACTAGAAAAGCTCAATTTCAGTTTTTCAATTTTCATCTGACGAAGAAAAATCAAATACGTGCACGTATTTCTTCATGTTATGATTCTCGTTTCGTTGGTTTCTAATAGCATTATGGTGATCACAGTTCTGTGAGTCACAGTCCGAGCACTGTTAAAGAGTATAAACATTTAAAGTTTTGGCAGGTGTAATTTCAGCATTTGCCATTAATATTGTTTGTTTTTGTTTGTAATTAAGCACAAAGCTACACAATGGCCTATCTGTTCTCTGCCCACCGGATTCTAGCGTTGTAATTCCGCAGACATACCGCTGTGCCACTAGGGGACGTCATTAATATTACTATGTAAAACAATATCAACTAACAATATGACTTGTTTTATAGAATGATTGGAAAAATCCCTGTCTTAATTATAAACAATCCTTAGAATAAATGTATAATAATATATTTCAGGCATATGACGCACAAAAATTTATTTTCGTTTTATTATTTAGAAATGATATTGCTTCCGAGAAAATAAGGAATAAGAATTAGAAATTCCCTAGCGATGCCCTTCGGTGACTCAGCGGTACGCCTGAGGGTTGATAATGTTAAAAATCGGTCTTCGATCCCCGCGTTGGGTAAGGTACAGATAGCCCATTGTGAAATTTTGCGCTTATCAACAAACAAACAGACAACGACTCGCTACATTATTGTAACTTACAAACTGTCACAGAGTTGTTCTAAGCATCAAATGCAGCAGACGTATGTTTTACAAGACCTTAATACCACAAAACGTCATAACATGTTACTCTTTGTGTGTTATTTTTCAATGTGAGGATGTAATTAAAATATGACGAAAAGCTAACATTTTAGAAATTCTGAGTATACTTGTTTTATTCATTTGTTTTATTATGGCACGTGTTTAGTCACTTCCAAAGGAAGATTGAACTTTCTAGTTCACGGTTCGTCAACAATCGAACATGAATGAACAATGAAACTTTTGAACTTAACCTGAAATTAACCTAGTATAGATAAGGATTTTTACCACTCCGTGTGGAAATCATTCTTTTACTCTGATGTAGTTTTTGATTGGAAATTTACAAAACACAGTTAATGTTCTTCCTGAATAAGCTCATATTTAGATATAATTTGACATTGATGCTTCTAAGTATAGCAGAAGCTTCTACATATAGCACCTATTTACGATTGTAACGTCAATCAAAACGTAATTTTCAGATATAACATTAAAGCGCATTTCACCCTTGTAACTGCAAATTACTCAGGAGCATTTCCAAGTGGACAAGAGTTTCCATGCAGTTTTACACCTGTAGCCTGTTACGTATAAGCATTGCTTAGGAATAGTAATACCATAAATGGACAGTGTGTTTAGTTACTATACCACTAGGATTACATTCTAGAATGGCATAAATGATAGCTTACAGAATAACATTTGTTTTTAAGTTCACTTGTTAGAATTTTTATTTAAACCCACCATTCCTTCAGATAGTAATTCATCAATAGCCATTGCTACGCCTTTCTCGTCGTCAGTCCTCATGATGTATTCAGCCAAGTCGACAGGGGAGTACTGGAGGCCTGAAAATTTACTGTAGTAATCCTGTGAAGAACGAAAGACAATTTATAAATTTATGTGGAACTCCTGTGAATAACTAAAGTCAGTTTAGAAATGTAGTAATCCTGTCAATAACTGAAGCCAATTTAGAAGTGTAGTAATCCTGTGAATAACTAAAGTCAGTTTATAAATGTAGTAATCCTGTGAATAACTAAAGTCAGTTTATAAATGTAGTAATCCTGTGAATAACTAAAGTCAGTTTATAAATGTTGTAATCCTGTGAATAACTAAAGTAGGATTAGAAATTTAGTAATCCTGTGAATATAAAAGCCTGTTTAGAAATGTAGTAATCCTATGAATAACTAAAGTCAATTTAGAAATGTAGTAAGTGTTGTTGAAAGTATTTTAAGGTAAAGCAGTAAAGTATATATAAGTGTCGTTGAAAGTATCTTACATTTTAAGGTAAGGCAGTAAAGTATATATAAGTGTCGTTGAAAGTTTTTTACATTTTAAGGTAAGGCAGTAAAGTATATATAAGTGTCGTTGAAAGTATTTTACATTTTAAGGTAAGGCAGTAAAGTATATATAAGTGTCGTTGAAAGTATTTTAAGGCAAGCAGTAAAGTATATATAAGTGTCGTTGAAAGTGTTTTAAGGCAAGCAGTAAAGTATACCTAAGTGTCGTTGAAAGTATTTTACATTTTAAGGTAAAGCAGTAGAGTTTTTTATGCAATTGTCTAGGTTTGATAGATTGTTGTATTTACAGTCACTTTATCCAGTAGTCACGCTAAACGTTTCCCAACTCCTTTATACAGAGACATTTGCATGTCTTCAGAAAGCTGTATTCTCATGCATGCTAATACAATGAATCAACAACTCAATTTCATTTTAAACCTATTTTTTAAGGCATAAGAATAAAATTTGTTTGGTTTGTCACGTAGCATAAGATGCGGGAATTCTAAGTCAGAGAAAAATGTTATTGACGTTTCCAAAGAAGGTAAATCAATTACATTTTTAATATTAATATGGGCATTTAGCTATTTAATATTAATATGGGCATTTAGCTATTTAATATTAATGTTTCCACTTAGGTTTTAACATTAATAAATTCACCTAGTTTTTCATATAAATACATTAACTTTGTTTCTTAATACTTATATACTCATTTAGCTTTTAATATTTATATATTCACTCAGATTTTAATATGTTAATATATTCTACATGATCATAACAACAAAACGTAGTTTCTCCCTTAATTTGAAAATTTTATTCTAAATGGCAATAAATTTCACGTAATAAGACAGATCGTTGACACGAATTTAAAAAATCAAAGAAATAACCAAACATAATTTACTTAACTCTACGACAATGATAGTTAGCTCATGGTTGGTGACAATTTGAACTCGGAACAAACGCTTTGTTAATTTTGAGACAACACGATTGAAGCATTTTTGAATATATTTTCCAACGTGAAGTTATTAAAGTAGCACTTATTTAAAAAAATGTGTACCTTAGTATTTACACCTGTTTGGTTAACACAGCAAAGTTGTTGGAGCTTGAAAACTTTAGACAACCACAAGGCTAGTAAACTTTAACCAATGAACAGTAAAAATGACCTCGACTCCAGATGTGTTAAAGGCTATTTTATTTATAATGCTTAGGCTTAGAACCCTTTTCCTTACACAGTAAAACCCCAAATGGTCTATTAGGAGTTTAGATCATCAACATTGCTCAAGTTTTTGTTTTCAATGTTATATTTCCCAGAAATATTCAATAATTATCATAAAAGAAACTATTATTCAGCAAGACAACACACGCAATAAAACTACGTACAGCATTTTTAGATATTCTTAAAATAATACAAAAGTTACTAGTCTAATAATTATTCAGTGTTTTTTTATTTTTATATACTAGTTGAAACATACACACTTTACAAACAGTGTGGATTGGTAAGTGTAAATTATTTTTTACCTCGGCTCTGTCTTGGATATCAGGAGACTCCCAACTGTCAGCATTCTTCTTCTGCTCATTGTTTTGTTCATATTCATAAACGCTTTCGTCGTTTTTTATGTTTGTTCTATGAATCCCCAAGGGTGGAATATCCAGTTCAGTTTTTTCTGTTATGTGTGGTTTTTGCTCATTTGGTTCTTGCTTCAAATCTTGGGATTGTCTCCACTTAGCCAAATACCGGTTGTTTCCAAGGTCTCTCACTAACAGAAAAAAATAAAATAAAACTTAATATTCTTCATATTTTAGCATCAATGATTATACATGTCTGACATTTAGCTACGGATACCAGAAACTTACACATTTCTATAATATTTTAACCGTAGTTATTTCTTCTACATTAATAATTTAAAACACCAAGAATAAGCATGAACTTCTATGTATCATTATATTTACCATTTGTTACTGAGTTGTACTGGTTTGTGGAAATTACGTTCCTCGTCAGAAGCCTTGTACAAGAGCAGATCAAAATAATAAGACTAGACTTCATATAGTAGTGGAATGTATATTATATGGATCGGATAGACTTGGCAGATATTTGGGAGTTGGGTATGCAGGGATGATCGGAAATGAAGTGGCAGTTAGGTATGGAGGGATGATCGGAAGTGAAGAATTATCCCCTTCGTGGTATAGGTATGCATAGTGAAAACAAAATATAAAGTAAAAAAAGGACCCGACAAGACGGCAGGAATCTATACATTCTTTGCCTGAGAGTTTGATGTGTAGGAGGAAACGAGACTAGACTGAAAAAAAAATCACTAGGAATTTCAACAGTATGAAGCATTAATGCTACTCATTTATTTTTCTGAATTATTCAGGCAGACAGACCATTTAAATACTAAAAAAATACATGCGAAGCCTAATCTATCTCTCGATATAACCCTTGACACTGAATTATACCATTTTCTCATAACTACATCTCCTTAGTAACGCTGTGCGAACACAAATCGACAGGATAAGATTAGGTTTCATATAGTAGTGGAGCGTATACTATATATATGGTATTTTGAAATGTTTTTTGCTCACACAGTAATCCCACACTTATGTAAGAATTTCAAGAATAGGTATTATTGATGCTACTAATTTATTCTTGTGAATTATTTAGCCAGTCAAACTGTTTAAAATACTACAAAATAAATGTGAAGCCCAATCTATATAAATATATGATTACTGTGTGAATAAAAGGTATTTCGAAACATTATACACATAATATACATTTAACTACTATACAAAGTCTAACCTTATTCTTTACATTTCCCTTGTCTAGAGTTACTGACGAGGAGCGGAATTCTCTATGTTCTTGAATTTTACAAGGTGAGTAAAAAGATATTTCGAAACACCACACATATAATTTGAAAACACATTTTTACCCTAATATGTTATTTTTGTTAAGTTACGTTTGTCTCTATATATATTTTATTAATTATTAATGTAATAGATTCAACTGTATTATGACCAAGTACAGAGTGTACCTGAAAAATGTATACACATTTCGGATGTTTATAATATACGTAAAAGTAAAGACAGAGTGTTGGTATTATTTTTATTTTATTTTAGAAATTACATGAGTGACGTTTAATACTGTTACACCCCACTAGACGGCACTACCCACGTAAAACAAAATGTGAGAAACTTCCTCAATGCTCGTTTCCATGGAAAGATGAGTAGGATGGAGGGGAAGTGTAGAGTATCCACTCCGATCTCTTGACTTAACACCACCAGACTTTTACTACTGGGGTACTCTAAAAAACACTGTGTATGCCAGGAAGCCCAGAACACTGCAGGATCTGAAGCACGAAACTGAATTTGCCTGCGTTGCTATTTCAGCAACAACAGTGCAAGAAGTATGCTGCTCTGTTGTGCGTCGTTTTCAACGATGCATTGACGCTAATGGTGGACACTTTGAACATTTGTGACTTTAAGACAAACAATACAACAATGGGTTTGCAACTGTACATCTGTGTGCTTTTCTAATAAAGAAATAAGTGACTAAAGTGTGTATGCATTTTTAGGGACACTCTGTATTTGTTATTTTTACAAAACTAAAACATTTTGCAAATAATAATGAATATAAATACGTGTTTTATTATTTTAACATCCTTTTATTGCGCATATAGTTTGAAATCAAGACCTTAACTTACCCTCACTTTGTTTTGTCTCACTAAATTTTTGGTGGCCATTGTTGTTCTCATTGTGAACATGCTTGGACTCTCGAAGAACAATGCCTTGTTTATCTACAAGAAAGGGTTTAAAGAAGTATGTTATAGAACTTAGAAGTCCTTATCAATAATTAATACCTAATAATAATATTAAGGGGCTGGATGCACCAACTGGTTAGGTTGCTGAAAATGTGGATCTGGGGGTTGCGTAGTTCGTGTCATGTTGGCACATTTTGGAACCATGATTGGATTATAAGAGTGTTTGTTTGTTTTGAATTTCGCGCAAAGCTACACGAGGGCTATCTGCGCTAGCCGTCCCTAATTTGGCAGTGTAAGACTAAAGGGAAGGCAGCTAGTCATCACCACCCACCGCCAACTCTTGGGCTACTCTTTTACTAACGAATAGTGGGATTGATCGTCACATTATAACGCCCCCACGGCTGAAAGGGCGAGCATATTTGGTGTAACGAGGTTTCGAACCCGCGACCCTCAGATTGCGAGTCGAGCACCTTAACCACCTGGCCATGCCGGGCCTTCTAAGAGTGAAGATCAAATGCTACTATTCGGTCTTATAAGAGTGGCCCAACAGTTGGCGGTGGATGGTGATGACTAGCTTTCTTCCCTCTAATTTATCACTTTAAAAATAAGGACGGTTAGTGCAGGTATTTTTCGTGGAGCTTTGCACAAAATTCGATAAAACAAACATAAAAGAAATGTCATTCTACTGCTGATCTTCTTAAAAAAAAAACATTTATACGAATTATCTGTTATAAGTGAGTCTGATTTAACATATTGATTACATTCATCCAACTTTACACAGTTCGTTACAGACTACCAAAAAGTAAACGAATATTCGTATCAAGAACAGCAAAACGTAAAAGAATACGTGTTTGTATAATTACCACCTTAAAAATTAACTTTTGTGGAATGTCCTTTCCTTTTTTTCTTAATAAATGTCGGGTGGTGTAAGTCTGAGTGCATGTAACTGGTGGGTCAGTTCAACGTTGTCTTTTAGTTCTAAACAAATCTAGGGACAGGGAAGTAAATGCTCTAATTTTCTAATGTCTCAAATGCTTAAGGGAATCGATTTATTCTGCCAGAGTTTTCAGATATCTACAGCTTTTCAAATTTATAACATAATTCGTAGCTGATAATGTAATCTAAGAGAATTAATGTTCTATGTGCAACGTTGATTAGTCTATTCAAATTCTTGCACCAAAATAGTTACCAAAGGCACTTATAGGTCGATCACATCGCTTACTACCTGGCTACAGGAGTGAAATTAAATTACACTAGTTGTAAACGGAATTAATTCATTTTTAATGGTTATGTTTGAGTGTGAAAGCTTCTTCATTGGTTTGTTATACAGCAAAGCCACTTTGGGCTATCTGCTGTGTCCAACGAGGTAAACGAACCCCCGGTTTCAACGTCGTAAGTCCACAGGCTTATCGTTATCCCATCGGGGGGCAAATGTAAGAGTAAAGTATCATGTAAGATACCACAAGAGCAAAATATTGCTAGCAATTAATACTTCAGTTACCCAAAGGGAACATAACTACTTGCAAGATGTCTTGAAGTTTTTAAAACTTCTGGAAAACAAAAATCAAGAATATAGTATTTTCTTATGTGAATCTTGTTCTTTTGGATTAGCACAGTTCCAGGGATGTCAAAAATAGAAGTCTTTTACATATTTTTTTTTATAAACAGGAACTTACGAGGAAAACAGCTTCAATGGCACAGCGGTAAGTCTAAATAAAGACTTATAACGCTAAAAATCGAGCTTCAATACCCGTGGTGGGCTCAACAAAGATACTCCATTGTGTACCTTTGTACTTAACAATAAACAAACGAAGAAAACAACGACAAAAATCCCAAACTTCATCAAATTAAAATTATCAAAGAAATGTGATATAAGTAATCTAAGAAAACTAATTATAAATGAAGGTTTTTTTTTCAGTCATAATAAAACGCCTTTCAGCGTTTGAGATAGAATATCTCCCGTTTTTTGAGTTTCTTGGATATATGTTATTTAAAATTTTTGCAAATGCAATCTATGTGTTTGTTTGTTATTAAGCACAAAGTTACACAATGAGCTGTCTGTGCTCTGCCCATCACGGGTATCGAAACCCGGATTCTAGCGTTGTAAGTCCGCAGACATTCCTTCTGTGCCACTGGGGGCGCAATGCAATCTTAGGTAGAGTTTATTCAAAATTATTTTTGAAGAATACTCTCATAATGAAAATGATTTCAGTAACTCAAAACACACATTATCAAAATTAATATATGACCAAATTTAATTTTAATGGGATTAGTGTTATTCAAATGAAAAATATTTTAATGAGAAATAACATTATTAATTCGTTAAAACATAATTCGAGACATTAACTAAAAATCTATTTTAAAAGCAATTCTTCAAAGATATAAAAGCAAAGTAAGAGCTTACTTTATTATGACACCTCCTGAAAATTTAATATCAGGTTGATGATGAACATAACTTTGCGGTAATTACCTTGATGAAGAGAAGTGGGCAGCATAAGTCCACCATCTGTCAATATAATGGTCTGGTCGTGGTCTAGTGGTTAGCTTGTCGGACTATGAATCCGAAGGTTTGTTTGTTTTGAATTTCGCGCAAAGCTACACGGGGGGCTATCTGCGCTAGCCGTCCCTAATTTGGCACTGTAAGACTAGAAGGAAGGCAGCTAGTCATCACCACCCACCGCCAACTCTTGGGCTACTCTTTTACCAACGAATAGTAGGCTTCACTTTTACATTATAACGCCCCCACGGTTGAAAGGGCGAGCATGTTTGGTGGGACGGAGATTCTAACCTGCGACCCTCAAGTTGCAAGTCGAACGCCCTAACCATCTGGCCAGGCCGGGCCTGAATCCGAAGGGCCGTGTATCGCGTTCCATTACCTCAAAATCGTGCTCTGCACATTAGGTCCAGGATGCCTTATAAGAGCGAATATCTAATTCGGCTATTCGATTAGAGTAACCCAAAAAACTGATAGTCTATCGGATAAAAATTAGGGACGGCTAGCGCAGATAGTCTTTGAGTAGCTTTGCATGAATATTCGAAACAAACAAAGAAATTAGAAACTGTCATTATAGCAGTCTTTAAATACTTCTCTTAAAATGCTTTCCATGAGCTGGGTAAAAGTTGTGTAATCAGAAACACTAAGCCTAACAGGCATCAGAAAAAATGTTCGAGAAAATATGACATTTAATGCCTTTGTGGTAAGAATAAATAGGAAATTAACATCAACGAAAAACTGATTTGAAGAATAGCTAAATTCATGGTTTTTCTTTCTTTTTTATGAGAAAATAGCAGTCAAAATATAAAAGAGAAGAAAAATATATATTTCGAAACCTTAGGAATAATAAAAAAAACGTATAGCTTTCTGTGGGAATTCACCGCCTTTAATCTTAAGATAACTCAAACAGAAAAGGGTTTGTTTTTGAATTTCGCGCAAAGCTACACAAGGGTATCTGCGCTAGCCGTCCCTAATTTAGCAGTGTAAGACTAGAGAGAAGGCAGCTAGTCATCACCACCCACCGCCAACTCTTTGGCTATTCTTTAACCAACGAATAGTGGGCTTGACTATATCACATTATATCGCCCCCACGACTGAAAGAGCGAGCATGTTTGGTGGGACGGGGATTCGAACCCGCGACCCTCAGGTTGCGAGTCGAGCGTCCTAACCATCTGGTCATGGAACAGAAAAAGGATAAGTTTTTAAAGAAATTCCATGGAAGCAACCAAAATGATGCGTAAAAATCAAAACAGGTTAAATTTTAGTATCACCTTATGTTGGTATTTGATGCTTTCGATCTGAAAGGCACTTTATGCTATGCATGCCTCGGCGCGGCTAGATCGAGACGTGCTTTGGACAGGCGCATATAGCCAACTGTGTATCTTTGCGCCAAAAACAAATATAATCCCCCTAAAGTAAAAGAACGGCGATCCCTAATTTAGAATTGCTGATCAGAGGGAGGGTAACTAATCAGCTACATTCGCTGTCTATGCCGTTGCTCTTAATCGAATAGCGAAATTGACTGCCATAGCTGTATTTTTCCCACAGCTGAAGATGTGAAGCGTGCACAGAGTCACAACTCGGATTAAGCTCCAATTTATTTTGTGTAGATTGTTATAAGAAATATAGCATATTGGAAATATTAGTTAATTCAGCAGTCGGGTATTGCACTTTAATCCCCTTCTACATTATTCTGGTGATATTATTATAAGATCAAGATCACTCTCCGGATGAGACAAACGTGTCCAAGTACACCAGTATAATACTGTTCATTACTTGTCTAATTATACTAACGCAATAGCCCCCCTCCAGTAGCACAGCGGTATGTCTGTGGACTTACAACGCTAGAATCCGGGTTTCGATACCCATGGTGGACAGAGCACAGGTAGCCTATTGTGTAGCTTTGTGCTTAATTATAAACAAAACAAAAAATAAAATAATAGCCTCAGGTTTTATTATTTATACTTAACGATCTAATCCACTTTAATACTTGCAAGCAAGTGCAATTTAAACTGTTAGGTATAATTAGGAAAAACGTTTACATGTATTTGCTCATTTAAGCGTGCTTCATTTCAGAATTAGGAACTCTCGAGTATGCTGTGCATTATTATTATTTGACCAGTGACGAAGAAAACTTGTAACGTAAGGAAAATAGCTCGTGTGTAATATTATTCTAAATTTCCTTAGAGAACAAAAGCGAAAAGAAGCGTAAAATCGATAGTAAACATGTAAATTCTGCAATTTGTACGCCAAGAAAGTTTGTGAAAACGATTCTGTAACATGCAAATTTATTTCTATTGCACATAGAAGTTCGTCACTCACGGTTATTTTAGTGATATCTATCTCCATCACTGCCATCTTCTAAGCAGTTAGTATCCTATTTAACGTCAAAAAGTGTGCAAGAAGTCCAAATCATTAGATATTTCAAGTTAGAATACAGAGAGATTTAGAAACAGGACACGTCTTTTTACGAATCCATCATACACGAAGGTAACAGAAAGAATCCCGTTGAAGTTTCGTGGGATTTCGTTCTTGTAAATAA